TTTTTTTTGCTGTAAATTAGAAATCCTACACATGAAAGCTCAAACAAGTAGGCTGACATTTTACAAAGGCTACTGTAAATATCAGAAGATGCAATAAAAATGCAGATATCAAAGATCTCGGATGATTATCATAACCAACACAAGGAATTCAGAAAATTAACTCTTCAGTTTGGCTAAGTCTGCTGAGCTCCCCAAAACGAGAGAGTCTTAGAAAGCAAAAGAATTTAATTATTCCATTTCGCTGGTAAATAAATGAGCATTTACTTACTTTCTGTTCCTTTTTCTGGCTCGGTTGTAAGCTTCTAGACCTTCTGTTAGTGTCTTCAACTTCTCTGGCTCCACCTGAGTGAAGGTATGAACACCAAACCACATTACCCAGACCTGCAATTATTAAACACCGCTTTTACTTTACTGCTAGACATGCATTATTACGGAGCCTAATTTTCACTGCATCCATAAGACACAAACCTTCCCAGCAAAGAACAGCTGTACGGCTGGCTATATACACCCCCTCATACATATATGTATATATTACAATTTCTCTAGATGTCCACACCACTAGCAACAGAAATACAAAAAACAAAAACACGACAGTCACGACAACAAAACTAAGAAGGAGAAGAGTATTTTTAAAACCTTGTTTGGCTTTATATTATTCATACGAACACTGCTGTCAAAGTCTCATATTCTGTACTCACACTTTACAAATGTATTTTACACCTTAGAGACCACCCTGGAATGAATTAAAGTACCAAGTTGCCTAGTACACATGAGACAATTTTTACAGATGCCATCAACACAAAAGCGTTTCACATCACCTCAAATTTCTGGATATTTAAGGCCCCAGTTGAACAATGCTGCTAATGGCACGGCCAAATTCATTCCAATTTCAGAAGAGTCACAGGATGTGCTTAAGTTAAAAGCCTTAAGGCCTTAAAAGGGGGACGGGCAGGATGACAAGCTTTATTTATGCATTATGAATCTACGAGTCTTAACTAGAGCTCGCTTTAGCCAGCTAATTTATTAGTCCTGAGAAAGGTCTTTTAAAATTTTTTTTTACTTAAGCACATACTTTAGCGATCTGCTGAGTCAGGAATGCATCTGAGCACAGGCTCAACACGGCTGCTGAGCTGGTATTTAAAGTACTTTAACTGGAAATTTCTCTTGAAATCAACCAGAATTATGATCTTTTAAGCAATCGGGACATAAACTGCTGCATATAATCACTGGCACCACTGAGTAGGTACCAGTTAGTACTCGCATAAACAATATAAGCAAGAAGAAAATGAATTATATCATCTATATGATTTTATCATTTGCATTAGTCCACTCAACTCTGCATACTATTTTGATTTGGCTCAGTCATTTCTGCTTGTAAAAACAAACAAAAAAAGGCATTTAAAACACATCAATTTAACGAAAATGGATAAATTCCTTTTTCTTTGGCAGTATTACTACATTTTGCTTGACTTATTTTTTAATCTTCGCATAACTTAACAAGAACCTTATACAGCATTTGTTTCATTAAAAAGTACAGCTTGTTTTCTGACACATGGAAATTAATTCTATAAATACAAATTTATTAAGCATGCCTATATACAATCTGAAAAAGAAATTTAAATGCAAATTCCCTCTAAACCCAGCCTTTCAATTCCTAAATAATTTATATTCACAAGAAAACTGGATTTTAGACGTGACAACGTGAAGTTAACGAGTGAGCAAGTTGTCAAAAACTCTAGAAATAAGGCCCAATAAAATACACGTTTAGACCAAATTTCACATGTCTTGAACTTACGCATCTGATAATGAAACTGGGGAATATTGCCATTGCAGGAACTGACAAGACAAGAGTCATTAATGGTGAAACCTGCACATGGGGAGGGAAGATTTTTATTTTCATGAAATAGATTCAATTATGCCACAGACTGTAGCGCTCTCCCCTTAAAACTGAGTTTACTTTTAATACAAGACTGCAAATAATTCAAGCGAGTCCTTTCCTAATCAGACTTCGGAAAAATACAAATGCATACATAAGAAATACTATCTGCTTAAAACCTGTGGGGCTTTTCTAAGGATAAACACGAGTAGAAAAGGCACACAACACTCACAGAATGAGCAAACCAGCTGCAGAAGATTGTACATGACAACTCCTACATTAAACCAGTATTATCGAGGCAATGTTACTGCCTGCAACACACCGTAGCTCAAGCCTTTATTTAAGAGCAAGCTTGAAAAACAGCTAAAGGAGAAACTCCTATTTTTCCAACTGAACAGAATTAAAGGGCAAAACCATCCTCATCTTGATCCTTTACCTTGGACACTCTACTACATGACAAGAGTTGTCATGAGTGCTAAATTGTACATGATCCACACCCCCGATATATAAGTGACTGTAGGGAACAAACTTTGGGAAGGGTTGTATACGCCTGCCATTAGATGTGTAACAAAGTTCAATGGTAAATATTTTTATGAAGAACTAATATCATGTTTGGGTAACAAGGGACTTATGCAACAAAAAGGAATCAATATTTTCATGATTGGCATT